CAGATCAATGCTCTGAGATCAGAGAAACCTTTCTCCAAGTGGGAGATTCATCTCAAGTGTTGCAAATAATGGAAATTGAGCTAAGCCTCTTGTATGAGGTTCTTCACACCAAGTTGCCTGTGGTTGGTTGCATGATGGGATACATTTTCAGGTTCATTACTATGTGTTGCATCTTGGTAGCGTTGTTGTCTTTCTCATTATTTAAGAAGTATTATCTAATGAAGCAGTTAGATATGTGGCTAACCTATGGTTTGCTAATCTGGGCCTTTGTGTTGGATATCATTTCTATTGTATTACTCATCTCCTCCGATTGGATTTTGGCTGCTCACATCCAGAGTACGAAATCGAGATTCTTCCAGAAGCGCAGGTGGTCTAGAGCAGTTTCCCAGTTGAATTTTATTACTTGCTATGTTAATGATTATCCAAGTCTATTGAGAGAAGTCGCTGATTTTCTTCGCATAAGGGGTTTGTTAGAAGACATAAAAGGAATCCGATGTCTATCTTCCAAAGATTTCAAAGAAGACCCAGAATGGCGCTTCATTTTTGAGGAAGTGAAGGAATTAAATAAGTTTTTGAATAGTAAAATGACAGCCCCGTCTCAGACTGTGCTAGACACTAAGCAAGTTTGGTTATACAGTCGTGAACGAGTTCTTCAAGGCTTTACCAATTCTAATGAGCTCATTAAGATTGTGGAGGAGTTAGATTACACGAAAAGTGTACTAACATGGCATATAGCCACTGAATTATGCTTCCAAGGAGTACACCAAACGTCTACATCAGGGAATGGGAGTAAAAGTCAGAGAGAATTTTGCAAGTTGCTCTCAGATTATATGTTTTACCTACTAGTAATGCAGCCAGCTATTATGGCAGCTGTTTCTGTGAGTTGGAAAAAGGTGTTCGAAGAAACATTGGCAGAGACGGCGTTATATGTAAGGAGGAGTTCAATCTCAAACGATGAGGATGCTCGAAAAAAAATCCTTCAACTGATCCCAAATTTCAGAAATCCAGAGAGGGATATAAGTAGATCGGTGTTATTTGCTGCATCTGAGCTTGCCAAACAACTGAAGAAGTCTAACAGTACTCCTTGGGAGCAAATGAGCAAAGTTTGGGTACATTTAATGTGTTTTGCTGCTATGAACTGCAGGCCATACGTCCATGCACAGCAACCTAGTAAGGGCGGTGAACTTCTCACATTCGTTTGGTTGCTCATGAATCATTTGGGACTTGGGACACACTTTTCAAGCCATTACTGATGCTACATAGTGAATTTGATGAAAATTGCTTTCAGGGTAGTTTTATTTTCTTTGTATGACTATTTGTTGCTGATGATGGACTAATGTAATCAGTGTATATTGTACCTAGTGTTGAAATTCAACAAAATTTTAGTTGTTTTTGTTTCTATAAATGATATCACATCTTTGCCCTATTAGTCTAACTTCAAGGTACTGATTTTCACTAGTAATTAAAATTTCTGTACTGGGGAACTGTAACTTCTCCCCTCCGTTGTCCAATTTATCTTTCACGTCCCCGATTCTTTTTTGATCCAGTAGCATTTGACTAAGTGTTTTTTAATTTGTACCCAAAGTAGAGGTTAAGGATACAATGATAGTATATTTTTGATTAATTGTTATAAAAAAATAAAAAGTGACTTTAATTTTATAAATTATTTAGTTAAAATCACATTTATATCATTAATGTTAAAAATAAAATTAATTTTTATATTTTTTATATAAATTAATGAAAAAAAATACAATTAATATATCTTTAACTTATACCTTAAAGTCTTAAGTTATATAAACTTTTGTTGAAAAATGGATATTGAACAAGAAATCAAAAGAAATGTGATAAAATGAAGAATCAGAAAAATATTGATATAGTTTGAGAAATATGAAACTTAGCACCGAAAATATTTTCTCATCCATCATATACACAAAAATACAATAAGAAATAATGTCATATTCAAGTATAGTAAATTAAATTCCACTAACTCTCCTGCAAATATAACATATTTTGACAAAATAATTTAACTAACACGATACCTCTAAATATTAAGGAAAAATTCCATTACATCAAATAATATTTTAATTTTAGAATTGATTTAAAAATTAATAATTATTTAATCAAGAAATTATATTACCTAAATATAAATGAAATAAAATAACATAAATTGCAATGATGTGACATTTAATGAGATCTTATAGAGTATCTCATTGGAGATGCTTTAACTAAACTAGAGGAACATCTAACCAACTGGTGTTTTCTTGTATTAACAATTAAATAAGGGCTAATTAACCCAAATCAATTAGTTGAGTGGATTCGCCTGAAGAAAAGAAGTTAAGGGGCTGATTATCCAAAATGTGAAAAGTTGAGGGGCTGATTTAAAAGTTCGGTCATTAAATAAAAGAAAATTCTCTGGCAAACTATTCAGACACAGGCCAGCAAACATAAAAGGTTGAGCCAGAATTAATTAAAGCACTGCTTCCTGTCCTTCAGTTTCCATAAAGTCTACTTTTCTTCTCATTTGTGTTATTTCACCCCTTTCATCTGTATGCATGAAATCAAATCCTTTTTCTTCATCTTTCACGAGTCCCAAATCCAGCTTTCTCTTTGGTTAATTTGGCATTCCCTTCAGTCTTCCTTAAATTCATACTTCTATAATCTCTCAAACTAATCTGCACTGCATTATCCATTGATTGTCTAGCTTTTGTTCCTTGTCAATCCACTTGTATTCTCTGTAGCTTTGTTTTATCATCTATATATTTCTTGTAACCGAAAAAAAAAAAAAAGGGCGAGAATTAGAAAGAACAGAGCAGCAGCAGTCTTTGTTCATTTGTCCAATTGTTGATCAATATTTCACCGCAAATCACAACATGTTTGCCCACAAGGACCAGTCCAATGTCATCAAGATGCTGAGGAAACAAATTGCTGACCTGGAGGATGAGAAAGAGAGTGTGAAGCGCTACACTGAAGATTGTTACGGTGACGGAACTGAGCCGCTCCAGAATTGGTTGGAGAACACATCAAATTTCATTCAAATAGCACATAAATTAGTAGATGATATTGGGAAACATGGGAAGAACAAGTGTCCCATTGGGTTGTGTCTTAATCCCAAGTCTTCTTACCAACTTGGAAAGAAGGCGGACCAGATATGCAAGGATATTGCTGCACATGTTCAAAAAGCTCGTGGATTCCCCGACATCCCACTTTCCCATCGACAACAGAAAGTGGCTGCTGATCGTTTTGAGGACTTTGAATCGAGAAGCGGTATTTTGAAGGACATCATGGAGGCACTACGAGATCCTTGCATCAACAAGATAGGAGTGTACGGGCAGCCTGGTACGGGGAAGACAATGTTGGTTAGAGAAGTTAAAAGAAGATTTGAGCAAGAGAGACTGTTTGATGCAGTTATAATGGCAACTGTGGGTAGGAATCCAGACTTACCAAGAATTCAAGATGAAATTGCACGTGTTTCTAATGAACAAACAGGGCTTATAGAAAAGAAGGTCCTCGTGATTTTGGACGACTTATGGGAGCCAGTATTATCTTTGGAGTTGCTTGGAATAAATGGGAAGGAAGGAAACAATGTTGTATCCTACAAACTTTTGCTGACCTCTAGAGCTAGAGATGTTGTATCTCTTCCATCTGAAACACAATTTGAAATTGACATATTACGCTGGGAAGAAGCATGGAATCTGTTTAAGAAGATAGCTGATGATCCAGGAAAAAGTCGTGGTTTGCCGTTTTATGCAGAGGAGATTACAAAGAAGTGTAAGGAATTGCCCATTGCTGTTGCAACACTCGCAAATGCCTTGAGAAGAAGGAATCTGATTGAGTGGAAGACAACTTTACGACAGCTACAAAGCCTGCCAAAGGATCAGCCGAATTCAAGTCAGATACCACAAAGCCTGCGTTCAGCTATTGAGTTACATTACAGTAGTTTGAAAAGCAACGAACTCCAACAAATTTTCTTGCTTGGCAGTCTACTGGGTCAGAATGCTACCATTCAAAACTTGTTGAAATATGGTATGGGCTTGGGCTTATTCCCAGGAGTCAAATCTATAGAGGAAGCACGAGTTCAATTGCTAAATTTGGTGACTAAACTCAGAGATTCTTCTTTGTTGCTGGATAGTGGTAGCAGTTTGTGCTTTGATGTGCACGATCTTGTTCGAGATTTTGCCACATCGACTGTTTCTAAGAAGTATGGCGTGTTGGCTTTAACAGAAGACGCACCAATCAACCGATCTCACATGGAGGCGATGGAGAGCATCAAATGGATTTATTTATCAAATGGGAACACCAGTCTGCTTCCAGATGAGTTGAGATGTCCGAAACTCACTTTCTTTCATTTTTCTAATGAGGGTCCTTATCGAGCAAGTCCACCAAACTTGTTTACGGATAAGGAAGGACTCAAAGTTTTGAGTTTGTCGAAAATGAATTTTTTGTCAATCCCTTCCTTAATTCCCCCCCCAAAAAACCTTTATACTTTGTGTCTGGATCAAGTTAAGTTAGGAGACGCAAATATAGACAAAGTGATGGGAGAGCTGGAGAATTTGCAAGTCCTCAGCCTTGCAGGATCTGATATCAAAGAGTTGCCAAAGCAAATAGGGCAGTTAACCAACCTGAAGTTGTTAGATTTGAGTGATTGTACCGAACTCAAAGTAATTCCACCAGGTGTCTTATCAAATTTGTCAGGACTAGAAGAACTATATATGAGAAACAGCTTTGTTCAATGGGCGGAGGGCATTGAGGAGCAGGAAAATCAAAATGCTAGCCTAGCAGATTTGCAGCCTTTAACGTTGTTGACTTCTATAGAGCTACATGTTATTTGCAATATTCAGAAGATTCCAGAAGGCTTGTTCTCTGAAAATTTGGCAAGATTCAAAGTTTTCCTGGGAGGTAAGTGGAACTACTGGAGTAGCTCTTGGGGAGTTTCAAAATTATTGAAGCTAAAGCCAGATGAAAGAATTAGTTCTCACCACTCAGTTAAGAAGTTGCTAAAGAAGACAAATGAACTACATCTAGAAGGATTGATTGGTGTTAAAAATGTAGTCAATGAGTTAGATAACGACTGTTTCCAAGAATTGAAGTATCTCTTTGTCCAAGATGCTTTGGAGATTCAACATATCATCTCAGTGAAGCCTGCATGTCCTGTATTGGAGGTATTAGTTCTTCGCAATTTGGAAAATATGGAGAAGATATGTCATGGTCCGCTAGAAGCAGCTTCTTTTAGAAAATTGAGGTTGATAACTATTGAATGTTGTAACAAGTTGAAGAATTTGTTCTCCGCCTCTATAGCCAGACAGCTTCAGCAACTACAAGAAATTAGAGTGAAACACTGCAGTGACATGGAAGAGATTATTGATGACAAAGAGCAAGAGAGTGGGAATAATGCTGAAGAACTTGAAGGACATATTGTGGAATTAATTAGCCTGCGATCCTTGAAGTTACAACGTCTACCAAAGCTGATTAGCTTCAACAGTAGTTGCAGGGACATGACTTTTTTCAATGAAAAGGTATTTAAATTTTTTTTTTCCCATTTTTGTTCTTTCCAAAGCTGCCACCTAGATTTCTATCTATTCTTCTATTCATAGTAGAATATTATGGTGAGTCGGGGTTAGATTAATAGAAGAATAATATACGGTTGAATTGTATACTTTTCATTGAGTAGAGTATTTATAGAATAGTTTATCAGATAGAAAATTATACAGTAACTAAACTTCATAAAAATGCAAAAAATTAACAAATTTGTTAAATAAATTTAATTTATCAAAAATAAAAACCAAAAAGTGCATTTAATAAGTGTATTTCAACATAATATCTTTGATAAAAAAAGGTAATATGAAGATGAATAAGATATGACAATGATATATTTAAAATGATGTGTCATTTTAAATTTGTAATTATTACGTGTTATTATATAAATGATTTTTTTTATTTAGTGTTTCTTGAGTGATATTGTAATACCTATATTATTGTTGCATATATAAGATAATCCTTGTTCTTTTCTATAAACAAAATGATAAGCCTTTATCTCATAAAAAGAACTACTTATTGTGCAGGTTGTGTTTTCAAATTTAGAGGAACTGCAGTTGTTCTCAATTATGGTTGATAATACCATATGGTACAATTCAATGACATCTTGTATCAAGAAACTGACAAAGTTGATCATTCATGGCTGTGACAATTTGGAAAACCTATTCTCATGTTCTATGGCAGCAGATTTGTTGAAGCTTAGACACCTTCAAGTAAAGAAATGCCAAAGGATGAGACATATTATTGTGGCTAATAATGACGAAGAAAAAGAAATTTTCATTTTTCCTCAATTGACTCTTCTGGTGATAGAAGACCTTCAAAACCTTGTCAGCTTCTATACAGGAAATTATATTGTGGAATTCTTATCTTTAAAACAATTACGAATATTGAACTGCATAAAGTTTGAGAGATTCATTAAATTTTTTGCAAGTACAAATGTCACATACAACACACCATCATCCTTGGAGGAAAAGGTAATTATTTCTTCAATTCAATTGCATTTTACCTTTAATTTTAGGAGCTATAATTGTTCTAATCCTTTTGCTCTTATTGTGATAATGTGTAGGCTATTTTCCCTAACTTTACTAGCACCCACTTAGAAAACTTAGAATCAATTAATTTTAGCAATTGTTACTATATATAATAATTTAGTCATACTTTTATTTTTATTTTTATTTATAAATTATTATATAAC